AAACAATTGAATATGTCAATCAATCCTAATATATGTCATATACTAACATACCAAATCTCGTTGTTTTATCTGAAAAAATAAAAAACGTTATAGGGGTGATCCACTTTTGAGACGCACCCGGTATATTTATCCGTTGTGTATCTGAGAGACAAAATTTTACGACCTATATTGACAAAGCTTCGAAATAAACTAAATCAAGTGATCAAACGAATCGCTCGCCGCTTACTACTTGCCGTTCATTACCGAAAGAATATGTGCCCTGCGCACACAGCTTACTGCTTGACACTTGGCGTTAACGAGTACTTACAACGTGCGACGGACAAAAAACCGTATTTTTAAATACGAGCGATATTTCGCTCGAGTAATCACTTGGTTATTGCAATCGCTTGATACTCGAGTACTCGATTATTGAAATAAATTGGTTTTTCCCATCACTAGTTAAAATCTATTCTGTGTCCTGTGTCCCATGAATGCTGACAAATCTTAGATTTGTGAAAGTCGCCCTTTCTAAAAGAATCTTTATGTTCTATAATTCGAACATTTAAGGGTCTAGATGTTTCACCAATATAACATTTATCGCATTCACATGGTATTTTGTATATTACATTTTTTGTTTGTTGTTCATTATCCATTGGTTTAGTATGTGTTAAAATGGATCTAAGTATATTTTGTGTTTTGAAAGACGTTCGTATATTAAATTTCACATCTAATCACAGTATAAGTGTAAAAAAAGGTATTATAAAAAGTTTATATGATCAGGCAAAAATAATATGTTCAGACGACAAATTACTAAACACAGATATTTATAAAGGACGCATCGATTTCTAACTTCATAAAATTTAAAAAATGTTATATATATATATATATATATATATATCTATTAAATCAATTGCAAAGGCCTAGGTACTCATCAGGTAAGATCAAATGGAACTTAAACGAGAATAAGAAAAAGGTATCCTGATTTAACATATTATGCTAACTTGATATGCAGGGTAAATTTATCACACTATACTATTAAAAAATCGAAATTAAATATTAAAAAAGAACTAAATTTAAAAACAGAAATAAAGTTAATTAAATAAAATTTTGAGAAATATTTTTCCTGGGCCAAAATTTCGGTAAAATTAAAGGAAACCACACGAGACCATAAAAAATTTCCTATTCCAGGAAACCGCAATGTCGTCCCCACACACATACGCTCGCACGCACATATCCATTTCGATATCGAACATATTGCGCACATCCGATGCCAGGATATGGCAATATGCCGTCGCTGCCTCGGAACGGCCAATTTTCCTGCTGCAGCCTGTGCCATAATCCTGCCAACTCGTGACGCACATGAAGGGCGGCATCGGCAGCAGGGCAGGAAAAAATCGGGATCAGCAGAGGGTCGCCTTTATTGAGACGTAGCGAGATAGGGGGGGGGGTGCTGGGTAATATCTCCAAGTTTAGGGTAAACGGGATGTGTAAGAGCTTTAATTCCGGTTTGAGTTTTGTATCTTTTTTGTGGTTAAGCAAATACCACAGGATCAAAAAAAGGCGTCAGAAACGGCTGGGGAATGAAAATAGATGATAATTTTAGTCAGGTCAAGCGCTGGACGTTATTTACTTGGCCCGTACTACCCATTTTAAATTGTAATTTATTTTTATATTGAGAAAAAATTATTTTTAAATGCAGCAATTTAAAAATCGAGGAAACTTATTTTTTTTAGAAATACTTTATTTTTGTGTCTGGAAACGTCCTATCCTTTTTAATTTTTCTATAATTAGAGTTAATTTTTGACAAGGTTGATGTCAATTTTTAGTAAATGACGTCTTGAAAATTGACATTGTCAAAATTATTATCAATTGTCATTTCCCAGCTGTTTTAGACGCCATCGATCATACTTTATTACAAAAACTAAAATTTTTTACGCAATATTTTTGACTAATTACTAGTAATCCAAAAACTACTAATTGTGTCATGTAAAAAGTGGCCTAGACTATTACAAAGGAGACGAATATAAAATATTTTCAATTTTAACGTAACAATGTAATTATTTATTTTGTCTACAAACCTATGCATTAAATATTTTGATGTGGTACATACTATAGAAATGAGAAAAATGTATCATAGTATTATGATAATTCTATATATATAATGTAAATTTATCAATATAGGTATTTCACAAAACAAATTATCTAATACTTTTAATAACTGATAAAAATCAACCAGAGAGAATCTCTTTTTTTTAGACTTTTGAAAAAGGGTAATGATAAAATATGTTTCTTTTGTCGAGATCTACCAGCTCTGAAAAGATTTAACACTTATTTAAAACTCACCCTGTATAGCTACAAACACTATCTGTATATTATCATTAGATTGCAAAAAACATAATTGTTAAAAATACTTTTCAATTTTGTGAGTTTTGAGGTCTGAATTAACAGAGTTGTTTTTAAAAAACGATTTTATTGTTACAAACGTTCTCGACAAAGTACAGAGAGTGAAAAGTCCGCTTCGAACCGTGCAGTTCGCTTTTATATGTGACATAATGTAAAATAGGCATTCAGTATTTAATTACAATGAAATAACACTTATTTATACATATAACTTGTGCTCAAGAACTAAAATACTAAGAATTTTTTTTATATCAGTTAGACAAATTGCTCAGTATTTTAAATTTCTCAGAATTTTAGTATTTTAGCACAAAATTTAAAACCATTTTTAAAAGTTTTTGTAATCTAATGATTATATACAGATAGTTTTTGTAGCTATATATCCAGAATAATTAATAACTTAACTACTTAAACTTAAAACCCGAGTATTTTTTATCGAATATGTTATACTCTACTCTGTATAATATAAAGAATTATATATATAATAAAATTATGAACTGTAGTTAAAAGACGTGTAGTTAGTTTTTATCTTAACTTAGATATTGAATATCATAAGCTCTGTATTATTATAATGTCAAATAATAATAATAATGCCATTTTTTGTTCTTTATTGTTATCGAGATATTTACTGGATATCTCCTATTTAACTAAGCAAACTCAATATAAAAGTAAGGCACGCAGGAGGACTGTCAGAGAGTGACGGATTATATTAATAATGAATTTATCATTCGCGATATATATGACATGTGTCGGAAATAGAAACAGATTTCTGCTGAAATTTGTCAACAGAGCGTACATATGGTATTTGTATGTAATTCTGTCAAATATCTACTACTGATTTGTGACTGAAATAAACCATATTTATAGTAAAATATAAGTTTGTAATTGACAATTAACTATTAATTAATTTAAAACATTTTTATAGAAAATCAAATTTTAATTTTTTTATTATTCAATAGTTTGAATGATAATAATCATGAAATTTATCATTATTCACCAATACCGTAGTCGTAGAATTAAAAAATAGATGTTGTTATACTATTTTTTTTTTTAATTTATAACTGTAATATCTTAAGCCGGATCGAGACATAGAATGTAGAATGTATTGGAGGGAGGTTAATCACCGAGACCTTCTAGATCTATTGTGTCCCCCTCTCTTCTTGAGTTAAAACTCATCATACACTCCCAGGGCTTTAATCAGTATCTGAGAAGGTTTTACAAAGGTTTCTCTGATATCGGTCGTGCCAAATTTCATGGCACGCGTGGTTGTCATCTCGGCACACTCGGTGATGAGGTGTTCTGGTGTTCCCCCTATTTTCCCCACAGAATCTGCATTCGCCGTTGTTTCTTAGCTTCAATCTACTGAGATGTTCGTTAAGGAGACAATGTCCTGTTAAAAAAACCGTGACAATCCAAAGATTGTTCGTACTTAAAAAAAAGGAAAATCTGTGATTTTTCTCGTTCCTAAGTTTAGAAGTAATTCTAAGAAGAAATTTCTTGAGTTTCGGTTAAGTTGAAGAAGCCGAACGACTGTAGTCCAGTTAGCAAAATGTTCGGTTCTTTTTTGGCTAGATCATTTGATTTTTAATTGTCTTTTATTCTTTGGTGCTATATTGTTCAGCTTCTCTAGGCATTCTACGGTTAACTTCGAATTGATTGTTACTGAGATGATCGCTTTTAATGATGTTTGACTATCGGATAAGATGGCAATTTCTTGTTTCCGATAGTTCCTATCTAACATACGTTGTACGCATCTTTTGATAGCGGAGATTTCTGCCTGAAAGATGCTGGGGTAGGTGCCCATTGGTTTGGAGTATTTAGTTTTGGGTTCAAATACTCCTATCCCTGTTTCTGCTTTAGTTTTAGAAGCATCAGTATCCTACGTTATGGTATTGTATTTTACATGCTGAGTAAACGTTTCTCTCTATAAATTCTTTTTATTGTTCAATACTACAATGAGGTGTTTCTCAAAGTTGTACATTCTTGATGTCATCTACTGGGAGTTGGAGGAGTGGAATTTTTTTGAGGGTGTTTCAAGCTCCTGAGCTGACAATTCTCCCAGTACTGGTTCCGTCAATGACCATTATAATCATTGTCGCATTGGCATACCTACCGACAACAATGTGCAGTGATGTTAGGTTTACAATAACCTCCATTGCTGCTGTTGGGCATGTTCTAATGGCTTCTGTGATGCAGATGCATGCCAGTCTCTGCACTGGATTTTGCCTAGCTGTATGTGGCTCTAGTTTTGTGTATCAAGCAACTGTTCTATAGGTGCTATCATGGTATACATCCAGAGTTAAATATTACATCTATTTCCCGCCAGCCTTCTGTATATCCAGACATAACGTTTTAACTTACGTTTTGACTGAGTTAAAACAAAATACCGTTCAGAGAACTGACGGCGGTTCTCTAGTTAGATTTAATTCAGTTTAAGTAAAACGTTTATTTTTTCATCTACATACAATGTTTTACTTGATACATTTTGATTGTAGCAGGTAAGACATAAGGTAAAATGTTACGTTTAGACGGACAAATAAAATAAGTCCATATTTTTAGAATTATCTGTTAAGAGCACTGACTCACTCAATCATTATTGATTAAAACTAGTGCTTTATTTTCAGAATATTCATAAAGAAATGCTTGGGTTGTTCCGAAAGGGTGTCTCCAGATGAACTTGTTATGCGAGCAAGTGACAGCATTTTTCATCTCAGATGTTTTATATGCGTAGTCTGTGGTATCAGGTTACAAAAAGGCGATCTATATGTCATAAAACAAGGACAGTTATTTTGCAGAATAGACTATGAGAAAGAAGTAGAAATGATGCAAGGATATGGATACGGTATGGTCATAGCAAGTACAAATCAAATAGAATTAGGTTTGTTTTAAGGTGGTAGACTATGTTTTTAGCCGAAAGAGAAAATCTGTTATATCAAACTTTATTTTAATTTTATGATTTAGAAATCTATGAATTCTGAAGTTATATCACAGCGTGTTTCATAACCAGCCTTCCGACTTACAATTATTTGCTATAGAACTCTGGGTACCTACCTAGATATTGGCCTATGTTATTTTATGACAACAATACGGATTTCAAACTTCAAGAGACCAGAATTTACAACCAAAATGCAGATACTCAAAGACAAAATGCCTAACGGGTAGTGAATTAAGCTGTGATTATATAATTCGTCATTATAACGTAGACATTAGAACAAAACATCTTAAGCTAGTGATGGGCAAATGCAATGGTGAATGCAATGCTACCTCGGAAAAAATATCATTGGTCTGCTTTGTTACGTTGGAACTAAAATTTTCAATATACCTACATTTTCCATTGCGATGAAATAAAGTAATAAAAATATTGAAATTATATTCCTCAATAATCAATTATTGTAATTCGTACTTCAACAACTACAACTGGTGTATAAACTGCGTTGCTTAAGATGTTTAGTTTTCTTGTAGCTACAACATATATTCATTTCCCTCTGTGATAAAGTTACCTTAATACTAAAGTAAAATGTTTTTCTATGCATCTATTAACACTGTGATTTTCACTTCATGTTCAAATATGTTTTAGGTGAATTCATTTGCGACGACATAATACAGTCCAGTAGATCCCACGACGGAAGAAGAGGTCCTAAAAGACCGCGAACTATTTTGACGACCCAACAAAGAAGAGCTTTCAAAGCTTCTTTCGAAGTCAGTCCTAAGCCCTGCCGAAAGGTTAGAGAAGCCCTAGCCAAAGATACAGGTCTGAGTGTTAGAATAGTGCAGGTGAGCTTAAAAGTTCTTTAAAGATTGGACATAAAATAAAAAAATATATACTTTATGTTAGGTTATAAATCAGAAACTATATTGTTAAAATTATTGTAGGTTTGGTTTCAAAATCAAAGAGCAAAAATGAAGAAAATACAGAAAAAAGCGAGACAAGATAATAAAGGAGGAAAGGATACTGACACCGATGATAAAAAACTAAATGTGAAAGAAGAAGAACCCAGTAAGTAAACACAGTTAAAGTCTGTCCAGCAAGTCAGGGAAGATTTCGACAGACAATATCCAAAGAACGACAGAAAATTCAATTTAACTGTGAATTAAAATGACAGATAACAACTGCCACTGAGATGTATACTATTGTTAGACAGACTTTAGTAGTAGTAAATATTGGAACAATTAATAATTAAAAAGGTGTTAAAAATTAAAAGAATTAATTCAACTCCTTTTCAGAATATAATGACACTTGTTTCTATCAGCTTTTTTTATTTTTTTCTACTTCTTAAAAAGTCTTAATTGCCATATTATTTTAAATCAATGCATATTATTTTATAACTAATGTTATTCTAGGTCCCCATTCCACGCCGTTCTTCAATGACAGCTGTAGTGACACTGAAACAACTACAGGTGAAGAAAGTACTATACAAGGGCAGGAAAATGCCCATTTCTCTAATATTAAAGAAGAAATTGAAAACGAAACCTATTTCTACAAAAGCAATAACAATATTCCTTTACATTCATTTCAAGGCAAGTAATATTTTGCCACATTTTCTTTTATTACTTTTTGTGGCATTAAAAAATACATACAACCCTAAATTTTCACTTTTCTACCATTAACCTCTATTTTTTAATAACGGCTTGATTGGTTTTGAAGAAATTTTATATGTATATCCAGTAGTTGTTATCTATTTTTTATACCTTTAAGTGATAATCCACCCCAAATTTTTAATTTTGAACAAAAGATTTTATTTTTATTTTTTTATGATTTGGCATTAAAAAATACATAAAACCCTAAATTTTCACTTTTCTACCATCAACCCCTATTTTTTAATAGGAGGCGTTTTTAAATAGTTTTGGTTCCCATACTCCTCCAAAACGGCTTAACCGATTTTGATGAAATTTTGTAATTTAATAATTTTAATTTAACAACAAATTGTTTTTAAAAATTGTTAGAATACCTTAAATTAAAAACGGGTAATAAAAAAGTATGATTGGGTAGGTATATACCGGGTATAATGATATTTACCTAAATTCAATATATCCACCATTTACTGACTCTCTGGGTATATACCGGGTGCAAAAACTTGGGTATCTACCCAAATTTCAATATACCGGGTACTTGCCCATCACTGACCTTAACCACAGCAACGTGTGGCCGGGTCTGCTAGATTTTGTATATATTTTTCAGTTATTTACAACATGTTATCACTCTCGTTTATAAATATTTTATTCAGTTTTAAGCGATACTTCTAATCCAGAAGATTATCCTACAAATTCTGTCTTTGAGTTTTCTCAGTAAGCTTTAGTCTAAAAAATTAACTTTTTTAAAAAAAATTAAAAAAAATTATTTTCATGCTTTTTCTTTAGGTTTAGACCTAAAACGCAGAGACAACAACTTCTTAGGACTTCAGTTTTCCAATTCTGTGGACTCCAGCCCGTCTTCAATGTTTCTGCAGCCTCCTCTTGCTCATCAGAACCCACCTCATTCTCAACCCGGTCTCAACCCCATAGATCGTTTGTACTCAATGCAGACATCTTATTTTTGTGGGGAGGACTCAATGGAACCCTGAAAAGAAATTTTAAATGAATTGGTGAGGAAGCACTTAGAAATATTTGCAAAATTTTCTACCACGCCAAAGGAAGATTGAAATATTTGACATAAAGGAATTAATTCAAATAAAAATAGACATAATTATTTAAAGGAAATACACTAAATATTTTGTTATAAACATCATAAGCTGCAGGTAATGGCATTGTTACCGAAACTTTTGTAAAAAAATGTAAATAAATAAACTAATATATTCTAGTTTAAGAAAATGTGAAGGAATTGGTGTTAAAACAACATAAAAATACGTAATGTTTTTTTTTCTAACAATCTCTAACAATTCAGTCATGGCTTAAATAAGAAATGGTTTTGATAGTTAAAAATATTTATTGTGTAAATTATGTAAAATATAATATGTGTATCTAAAAAATATATACATTTTTTAACCATTCCTGAGCACTTGTCATCTGATCAAAAAAACGACGTCACAAGAAGATTATTTTTATAAATTAATTTGAACTTCATTAAGTTTCTTTCTGACGTTCTTGTCAAAAAGTTAAAGCCTTGATTATGTATAAAATATAAACTAGGCCTATTGTGACACGGTTTTATTTGACCATGTGGTATATTAAAAAAAGGTATTCCATTTTATAATAAAATGTTAAGTTAAAGTTTCAAATTCTTACCAGTTGTATATATGAATGTTATATTGCTTTTATATTTATTAAGATATAAGACTGATATTCAAATTTAATCTTATATTACTGAAAAATGTAAATAAGTAAAATATAATAATTATCATATGAGGCTATAGCTTAATTGTATCTTTAATATAGGTATAAAAAATAAAATGTGCTATACTTATAAGAGCGGTAATATATTTAGTTGTCAATATAATGCTGTTTCATTTAAAATTTGCTAAACCTTTAAGTAAAAAATACTCTAATTTTTATAAAAAAATTATTAGTTATACAGGGTCAGTCTTAAATAAATGCAAATATTTTTACTGGTACCATAATTCGACAACAGAAACACGTTTATGATAAACCTCATTAAAAAAATCTAATTCTGAGCTGGCAAATGAGCTAGATGCTTTACCTAAACCGTTATTCAGAAGATACAAACCTATCAATGAAAATATGCATGAACATTTACTTCCTAGGACACAACGAGAGGATATTGGTACAACATCAAGGTTGGTACAGTATCAAGTTTATTATAGTGATTTTCTTAGCCGTGTACGGCACAGATCGTTACCCAGTTTTGCCACAAGGTTATTTTTTATCGGGATAGATTATCACGAGATAGCGGAGTTAAATTGTTTTATAAAGGGGTAGATCTATCCCGAATAGGGTGGCTGTCTTTTCCTCTCGCTAGCTCGTGCGTCACTGCCGTCACGGCCGTTTTTCAAGGCCGTTTGTCACGGCTTTGAATTTTTACTCCCAACGCACGTAAAGAAGTTTCACTTCAAGAAGTTAACCTCGGTTTGAAGTTCAAAATGATCTACCTATGTGACAAAGCTTATCGATAAAAGCTTTTTAGTCAAAGCTTATGAATCAAGTAGCAATGAAAAACACGGGGTTGCCGGATAAAATTGTGCAAGATAATAGATATCACATCGAGGAAGACCAAACCTGAGATGGGACCATGATATTAGAAAATTAGATAAAAATGGGCCCAACTACAATAAGACTATCTTAAAGACGGTCCTACACGATGTGGTGAATACTTTCCAACGTTGGATGCACGGATGTTCGCCACATCGTGTGGGCGCGCAGAGATTCATGCGTCCAACGTTGGAAGCAAGTTGGGGCTCTCGTCGGTAAATTTCACGCGCGTCAAAGGACCTTTCAACGTTTGAAACATTGTTCGATGCGCCCATACACGGGAATCTTGACGTGACTGATATTTTACTGCAATTTTTAATGTTGATTTATTCTTTTCCAAAAATATGTAAGTACATACATAAATAGGTATACCGGGTGCGTCTCCAATTGGCACACCTCTATAACATTTTCCAGATAAAAATATGAGATTTGGTATGTTAGTGTATGACATAAATTAGGATTGATTGACCTATTCATTTGTTTTTGGTCACTTCCTCTTTCACGGGAAATGACTACAACTTTTGATTTTGAAACGACACCCTCGGTATTTTTTACTTTATTCGATAGAAAATGGCACTCTGAATAGAATGACATATCATATGTCATCTTTTGACATTTTTGCATATGGTTTATTTTTGAAAAAATAAAATATATTTTAAATTAGCACAAAGGGAGAATATCTTATTAATAAATGTCTATACCTATGTGGCGGATTCATCTCTCCAAAAAAATCCTTTATGGGTATTTCGCAAGGTATTTATAACCTGATTTTTCTTGCAGTGCAGTGGCAAAATACCTATAAAGGATTATCTTGTTAATAATATTTTTCAAAAAGTTAACAGATAAGGAAGTGGGAGGGTGGTGGTCGATTTTTCAACCAAAGACTGTTAAAGAAAATAGATACTATGTAATGATCTAATGTATATAATGTAGTGATCGGTATTTAAGTAACGCGATTTTGGAGCGGTATTTTTTTGTAACGCCGTGTCGCGCTCCACAACGAATGGGGAACCTGTTACTGAAGAACGACGATTATAATGACGACAAAATTATAAATTAAATAAAATTTGCAAATAAATTATTTATAATCGCTCTTGAAGTTAGTTTGAGCTGTAGTAATCGCATAGCGACGTGTTTAGCTCCAGCCGTCGCGATTTCGTCGGTCGCCTACAATAGTTACTGGAACTGTACGTAGCGTCGGGCGATCTCGATCTCGCGACGTGTTCGCTCCAGCCGTCGTGGTCCTAGAGTTGTAGTTCCCTGTCGCGAACAGAAGTAACTGCTGTAAATGGGCATCGACGCTCGACGCTCCAGCCGTCGCGCTCCTAGAGTTTTAGTTCCCTGTCGCGAACAGAAGTAACTGCTCTTGCCAATATGGTATAAGCTCAGTAGTTTTAAGGATTTAAATTGGTTCACACCTGGATAACGGTTAACGATACGTGTGACCAAAACGTTGAGTAAGGTTTCCACCAACCACTTTCAAACAAATAATTAGTTTTTTAGTAAAATAAGTGTCTATCTCCTTTAAATCCACTAACTAAACACCCACAACAATATCAGATAAAGTAAAGCTTATTTGATAAGATAAGCGGAAAAACAAAAAATCAAATAATTGTTGGTGAAAATGATCTCCCGATGCAGGTGTTTTCAAGTTTTATATAAACTTATGTACACCTGTGTAATCCGAAATATAGATTTATGTGTTTCGGTAGAAAAATAATGTTCTACTTTCCCCTTGCTTCGATAAATTTATTCATTCGTGCGGTTTTATCACAAAAGGTTAACGCCGCCATCAATAAACATTGTCGTTAGATGTTAATAAGAGATAAGAAGATGTACTGTAAACATGTACAAATTAGTTGATTTATAATAGATTATTAATTTTCGGATCAGTAATACCAAGAAAAAATATATTAACCATCACAAGCTTAAGTTGAATTAGCTTAGTTAAATTTGGATTATACGTATCTAGAGATTATAATAATTTAAATGATACCTAACCTAACAGAACATGCTTTTTTATACGAAACAAATAAATAATTTTTTAAACAATTTTAAACGTTGCAAATTTTGACTCCAGGAATCCAAAAAACAAGGTTTTAGTCCGTCCGTCCGTCCCTCATCAAAAAACTTTATTCACCAATAACTTTCTAATTATCAGGGATATAAGAAAGTTATATTAATAAATGTCAAATATTTGTTGTAGGAAATTTAATTCTCTTCAAAATCGATCTCTTGACTTCATTTTGTATATCTTTCAGTTTTTGAGTCATAGCAATAAAAAAAATCTGATCAAGGTAACCTAAACTTCAAAAGTTCTCATCATATGAATGTGTTTGGATCTCGAGCGATTTTTGAAATTAAGAGTTATGCTTCTCGATTTTGCTATATTGAAAATCACAAAATTGCAGAGTGTCAAAAATTTTCGCATCTAAAAATAGAAATGTACGGCCTGACTGATAAGTCTGGCGGGGCTTTCGTGATTGTAAATGACAACCAGACGTGTATTTTCTATGAAATTATAGTATTATTTATTATGTGACAAATTTTGAAATCCGGGAAAATAAGAGCAAACATTTTGTAATTTTTGCAATTTTCAAGATGTCGCCAGACTCATTTGTCAATTTTGTAAATCAGCCAGACTTGCTTTTGATTAAAGTTTATGATAGTATCAAATGATATGTTAAATTTCAAGCATGGAAATATAAGAGTTATGAATATCAAAAATCTGTCAAATTTTTGCATCCGCAAATTTTCAGCTAGACTGACTTTCCACCACTTGGGATGTGCCAGACTGTTATTTCTATTAATAAAATGATTCACTTTAATAAATATAAAATATTTATGGTGAGTCTTAAATAAATGCAGCTCAGCCAAAAAGTGTGTAACAAGAGACACGCCACAAGGAGGTGTATTATCACATTAATAATTAATAAATTAAATACATTCTATGCACGTAAAAAACTATACGGAAAGAGATGGGGTGTGCAACCGTACATTATACACTGGATGTACACTGCTATAGTTAGACCAATCATCACTTTTGGAGCACTAGTATGGTGGGAAGCGGCACTTAAAGAGACTAATAGAAAAAGCCTCACAAAAGTACAGCGATTGGCAGCTCTAGGTACAACTGGAGCAAGGAACAACACAGCTCAAGCTGCACTAGAAGCAATTTTGGACTTGCAATCAATCAACTGGCTCGTGAAGGATCTGGCCGCTAAGGGTGCCGTAAGATTAAGGGAAGCCAATCTGTGGAACCAGACTAACTACGGTCGCTCGAGGATATTGCCAGTGATAGGGAAAATCATGGTGAACACGAGTCCACATCTGCTAGACCAGAAAACGGACTATATGCTCACCAAACATGATTTTGGAGAAAAGATAAGGATTTGCATCCCGACAAGAGAAGAATGGGAAAACAGCCGAGTAATGAACACTCAAGAGATAGCAGTCTACACAGATGCTTCCGCAAATTCAGTGAGATCATCATGCAATCAGTGAGATCAAAAAGGACCTAGTACGCATAATTGTAGGTGTCGTCACTGGAAACTATCCCAAGGGGGTAAACCTCGTGAGATGGAAAATTTACGACTACTGCAGAGAATGCGGAAAGGAAGAAGAAACCATAGAGCACTTGCTGTGCCACTGTCCGGCACTGGAATACCGACGCTTTAAAACTTTAGGGCAAGGTTTTTTGGAGGGACTAGAGAAAGCAGCAGAAGCCAACATCAGCGACATCGGGAATTTTGCAAAGAACTAGAAGTGCTTTAATGCAAAGAAAGAATGGGAGGAATTTTTGGAAAAAAACAATACAGGGGTATCGCAATGGGCCCAAGGCCTCCGAGTGAAGGATCAAATATGATCCCAAACCCCAGCAACCTAACCTAACCTAAATAAGTGCAAATATTTTCGGGGTGGTAGATATCGATAAAAAACATATTTTCTCTGTACCGTTTTTCAAATAAGTCCAAAATAACCGAGTTACTTTACTTTAAAAATTTCCAAAAAAAAGTGATCTTTCCCGGGTTTTCTTTCTTTCTTGTTTTGAAATTTAATTTTCTAGCTATGTTGCCATATTACCAAAAAATTCTGTTTTTAACGAAAAACTAAAAAAATTCCAAAATTTCATTTTTCTTTTTTCGCGAAAAAAAGTATATTTCGACTAGGGTCAAAATATACTACCCCTAAAAATATTGCACTTATTTAAGACTCCCTGTATATTCACCGACTG